CATCAATATACGCCACTGCCTTCCCATTCCTAGTAGGGTTCGAGGTGCTCCTCTCCTGCACTGGCGCGACTTCTCTCCTCGGAGTGATTGATAATCCCGACCACTGATGCTTATGGGGAGTAAACATCATTAACTTTGGGCATCAAAATGAAACCCTAATCACAATTCCAAATTTGTAATCTTTGGGGGTAAAACTGAACAGCAAATCTAGATTTAATAGGTTTAACCGTTGAATTAAAAACAAGAAAATGGAGCAAAGAATGTGAAAGGTAGGGACGTTATGCGCCAAAAAATCAAAGGTGTGGACGATTTCCACAAAAACCGTTAAAGGTATAGACGTTTTGTCACCAATTACCCTTAAAAATTATGTTTCGTCATGCAGATATGGGTGTTGTTCTAGTTTGTTAGTTTTGTGATTTCAAATTAGATGAAAAAGATTTATGGGTATGGAACTGGTCGAGTGATATACGTGGTGGTATTTGTATTTCTGTAACAGTCGACGCATCATATGAGGAAATGTACGATGATTTAGCAAACAAGCTCAAAGTTGATCTCTCTCAATACAATATGGAACTGAAATTTAAATTCAACTAGCATTCATCCATTTCGATTCCACTTATGAAGGTTGCTTCTAATGCTAAAGTGAATTACCTATTTGAATTAAACAACATGCGCATGACTCATCTTTACGCGACTTTAGTGAGGAAAAATGTTATTGAAGGTGAACTCGAAGATTCGGATGGAGGGGATCACAATGCTAATAATTTTTGGGACACAGTGAAGATAGCTCGGGAGAATAATGTGATTATTCCCGAGACAGTTGATCATCATCGTGATCTCGTTGTTACACACAGAATTTCGTCGGTGATTCACGACAATGAGAATGAGAATGAATTTACAAATAATGATTTGATTGTTTTATCCCGTCAAAGACATGAGTGTGGCGGGAGCGCAGGGGCTAAATCAAGTGGATCCTTATCTAATTCTTCGCTAGTAGCTCCTGATAATGAGAATTTGTACGTCAAACAACTGTTTGAAATATAGAAAGATTTGCAGGAAACTGCGCACCGAATTGCACTGGAATACAACTTTGAGTTCAAAGTGAATAAATCAAACAAGTCATTACTAACGATTGTCTGTGTGGACAACTTGTCGTTGGCATTTACGATCGATGAAGATGGACACGAATGAGTTATTTGTAGATCGCAAGTATACACGGGAACATACTTGCGAAGTAGAAATTCATCGAAATGATCATAGGCAAACTCGTAGATAGTTCATTGGTCGACAAATAATGCACAATTATCAGAACCTACGGACGATCAACAGACCTTCAGACATCATTAATGACATCCATCAAGAGTACAGAGTGATTAAGAGCTACCATAAGGCTTGAAAAACCAAAGAATGCGAGTTGGAGGACTTAATGGGTTCGGTCGAGGAGAACTATGCTAAATTTGCCAGGTATTGCCATAACATGGGTACAACTAATCTTGGCTCTACATTTTTTATTGAGACGGAGGGCCAGAATTGTTTTAAATTTTTTCTTCATGGTTCTTGAACAATGCATTGGGGAATTTCGAAATGCAATGCGACCCCTAATTGTAGTCGATGATACAACTCTGAAAGCTAGATACGGAGGTAAGTTAATTATTGCTACGTATCAAGATGCCAACATCCAAATTTACCCTATTACATTCGGCATATTTGATAGCGAGAATGATATGTCAATGTGTTGGTTCTTCACAAAGCTGATGGAAGTAATCGGGATAGTCGAGAACCTTGCATTTGTAACTGATCGGGGACAATAGATAATAAATGATATCGCTGATGTTTTTTTGATGCACATCATGGGTATTGCATGTACCATATACAATGCAACTGAAGACTAAGTATTGGGGCAAAAGCTTTGTTTCTTTGTTCAGGAGAACGATCGAAACTTATAGTGTCGAAGAGTGCAATAAATCATGGCGGAAACATGAAATAAATCATTCCCAGTGTGGGAGTATCTAACGAAAATGGGAATTGAACATTGGGCGAGATCATGTTTTCCAGGACGTCGGTACAACATGATGCGGAGTCTCTCAATGCATTATTCAAGAAGGATCGATAGTTGTCTATCCTCGCAATATTGAGAACATTCGTAACAAGTTGTAGCAACGGTTTCACGACCAACGTGCCGAATCATAGAATTGCACGAACGTGCTAGCCTTTTCAAATTCTGAACCATCTGTCTATGTGGTGATGGTTCGACTATTGTTGATAAGGATATACAAGCAATTAGCATGTATGAAGTTTTACCTGCATTCAACATGATCTAATTGCATTCTTTCTCATAAATTGGTTTGATTTACCTGCAGAATTTAATAATGTCCATTACCATTAAGGTTTGATTTCAAATATAGATCATCCAAAAGTAATATTTTAATAACATAAATTTTAAGAAAAATGGTTCAAAGTGGGCATTCAGAATGTGGAAAATCTTAACCAACCCGTCTTGTAATAGATAAAATTAGTGGGACACCATTTCTTTGATATTGGGTGCATAACGGGTCCAATCTTATAGATGGAATTTTGATTCCTTATTTTTAGTCGTCATGCCATTGTCAGTTTCAATCATGCCACGCCACGAAGAAATGCACGTTGTGTTACCTGCGCCGTTTTAGACATGAATATATTATTAGATAATTGCACTAAATCATGTCAAAAGGTTAATCTACTTGACGAAGGATAAAGCACCATTACAGTTAAGTTTCGACTGAGCCCCTGTTTTACAACTATTAGAGTGTGTTTGATATTGTTGTTTTTCCATGGAAAATGGAATTGGTTTTCCATTTTTCATATTTTTTGGTGTTTGATAGCAATTTTTTCCATGCCAAATGTTTTTCACCCTCCCCCCACACGTACATCTTTTTTCTTAAATTGGTGAAAAAAATTTCCCGCCATTTAGGTGGGAAATAGTTTTCCAGGTGCTGCTACTTTTTTTTTTTTTTTTGGTAGTAGAAACAAATTTTATAACCAATTGTAAAAAAATAAAATTCACTTTAATGGACAATTTCGATGTAAAACAAAGGCAAACGAACACTAAATTTTGATTAAAAAATGATTTTTTAGGAAATATTTTTTTTTTCGTTTATTTTTACTTTTTGGCAATGGAAACAAATTTTATAACCAATTGTAGAAAAAATTATAATTTTAATGGACAATTTCCAAATGGAAATAAATTTCATAACTAATTGTAAAAAAAAATTCACTGTAATAGACAATTTCTATGTAAAATAAAGTCAAACGAACACTAAACTTTGATAAAAAAATGATTTTTTAGGAAATATTTTTTTTTTCGTTTATTTTTACTTTTTGGCAATGGAAACAAATTTTATAACCAATTGTAGAAAAAATTATAATTTTAATGGACAATTTCCATGTAAAACAAAATCAAACGAACACAAAATTTTAAAATTTTCCAGGTGAAAAATTATACCAATCAAACACACTTAATTACCAATTCCTTGTAAAACAATTTCTAGGCAATTACTTTCCCTGAAATTCATTTTCTTTCCAACTATTTTCCACCATTACAATCAAACAGACCCTTAAAGTAACTCTTTTGTTTTTCAAAATTATTTTCAATCAAACATTCTTATAATAAATTACAATCAAACAGACCCTTAAAATAACTCTTTTGTTTTTCAAACTTATTTTCAATCAAACATTCTTATAATAAAATATTCTATACGTAAACCCAAAATTTTTGACTACTTTTTAACTATACATTCTCCACTTAATAACTATTTCAAAACTCATTTTATGGTTTCCAAACAGGGGCTTAGTTGAATAGACACAAGATAAATTTTCAATAGTACTGAACGAAGATGAAGTACAAAAAATCTAGTTGTGTTGACATAAGACAAGACCTTGACATAGTGGAAGAGTTAGTCTTAATCGAGCATGTGATCTTTCTTGAATATTGAATCGAGGAGTATAGATGGATAAGTTATTACTTGATGGGCATGAGAAGATGTGATTATTTGTCGAGAGAAAATATGAATAGAAATCTATATTGACTAGATATGTGAAAGATAATGAATGTTATGAGAGGTATGAGTAGTACTATAGTTCAGAACTCCAAATCTTGAAATAAACATGACAAGAAGAAATATCCAGAAATACTGGACAGTGATTTTGGTTAAAGGGTCACGCCGGATGGCCATCCTCATATTATGCAATGCATCTGTTTTAAGAGTCAAAAGAGCTTAAAAGACTAAAGTGAGAGACCCCCACAGACCCCTCCTCAAGAAAAGCTGAAATACTCAAATGCATCACATGGAAAACACTCAAAGACGTGTCCTTTCAAGTTGGAAGACTTCCCACATGCCACTTAAATGGCTGGACTATTCAGTTAATTCCTTGCCTATATAATGAGTACATCATTTATCAAACACCTTCAATACATTCAAGAATCCAAGAGCAACACAAAACTAAAAAGTCTGTGGCCACCACCACCACCACCACCAATAAGTTGCACGAAGACAGACCACGGGACATGGACACAACACAACACAACACGGGATGGACACAACCGATGAGTATCTCTCAAGGGTCGATAAATTAAAATATATATAAAAAAAAACGACAATGTCACGTGACTTGTTGGATACCTGTCCTTGAGTGTCGAGGAGTATATGGATACGGACACGTTACTTTAGTAGAAGTGTATGTGCGCATCATAGACGACCCACCACCATCAATGACGGTCATGACCCATAAAGAAATAACGCACTTTGTGTGGATATAGGTGCACCATCTGATAGTCAAATCATCTACATACAGTGGACACACGCATGAATCCATTAACGTAGGATTACACCGCCAATGTTCTATTGCTTACTTTCAGACCTAACTTGACCAATTTTTTTTCACTGACGGTGTACTCTATATAAGAAGCTTCAGAACAAGGCTGTGGATTAAGCTCCTTGTCTCTATAGGAATCAGACAGAATCATGAAAGGGATTTTTATTTTCTTCTACTTGTCTATTTTTCTTGTCTTGTTTCTAAGAGAAACTGAGTCGGCTCAACTACAAAGTAATGGAATTTATATTGTGTACATGGGAGCCTCAGTTTCATCAAAGGGTAATCCAAGAAATGATCATGATCAGCTTCTCAGCTCCTTCATGAAAAGGTTACTCTTATATGCATCACAAGCGAATGTGAATATAGCTTTTTAAGGAAATTGACGTTGCAACACAACTAGGAGCTCAGTTCTATTCTGTGGTCCTGAAATCGACAAGATTTTGTTTTTAACAATCTTAAAATCTTATAATATTTGCTTTATTTCAGTTCGATATTGCTTACGAATGCTGTCCTAATACTATGATGCCTATATAAGGACAGGTCTGTACCTAATCTAGGAACTCTGATGGAAAAACTAAGAAAAATATTGTCCCATGCATGAAACAGGCACATCTAATATTTGATTTATTGGATTGTGAATTCCTGCAGGAAGAAGAATGCAGTGATACACAGCTACAGCAATGGTTTCGCAGGGTTCGCCGCTTATTTAACGGAGGATGAGGCTAAATCAATAGCTCAAAGACCCGGAGTTGTGTCTGTTTTTCCCGATCCAGTTTTACAACTTCACACAACGCATTCTTGGGATTTCTTGAGGTACCAAACTGCTGTAGAGGTTGATTCCAAGCCTAGATCAACTTCGGATTCATTTTCCAATGGAACAGACACTATTATTGGCATCTTGGATACAGGTCAAACTAAATTTTTATCTTGTTTTTAATATAGTGCTTAAAATTGAATATTTTCAATGAATTGTTGTGCACTCTCCGAGTGCTTTGAAGACTAACACTTCAAAATCTTACTTCAGGAATTTGGCCTGAATCTGAGAGTTTCAGTGATGAGGATATGGGTCCAATTCCATCACGGTGGAAAGGCACATGTATGGAAGGCCATGACTTCACTTCCTTGAGCTGCAACAGGTAGGAGTTTCAAACATAAATCAATTTTCTTTTCTTCTTTCCAAATAACTTCATAATCAGCAGAAAATTAACCTTTTTCGGTATACATGAATTTTCTACATCATAATCATACTTGACGAGTCCATAAGCAGTGATCTCATTTCTTTCATCAGGGCTGAACTTATCCACCAAGTAATTTCATTAGCCATTATAGCTCTGGCCACGGCTTACAGGCACCATAAGTTCTGCCAACAGACTCTCCGTAAAATACTAAAATCAAGCCGTGCAGGGGTTCCAGGTGCTACAATGTTAAGAAAAATAACAAAATAAGCCCTATTCGCCATGAATTTGGAGTCGGATACATTAATCCTTCTTCGCCATTCCCCTCCTTTCTTGTAAGAAATAAAACAATTAGATCTCACTACCAACAACAGGCCATGTTAACAATTTGGGTTCTATCCCTCCCCTCCTCTTTTAACTTGCCCTATCATTACTGCCTCATTGCATACAAACTAGATGATGAAATGTCTAAAGATTTTTTTTTTCTTCCTTTATTTTTATTTTTATATTTATATTTTTTGCACCAGGAAACTAATTGGAGCAAGGTATTATGAAGAACCTGGATCCAGCAACACAGGAGCATCTGGCACACCTAGAGACAAGAATGGTCACGGTACTCATGTTGCATCAACTGCGGCAGGCATCCCAGTTAAAGGGGCATCATATTATGGCCTAGCCGAAGGGACTGCAAAGGGTGGCTCACCAGGATCAAGAATCGCTATGTACCGTGTTTGTACCCCGGATGGATGCCGAGGCTCGGACATCTTAAAAGCAGTTGATGATGCCATTGCTGATGGGATTGATGTGTTATCAATGTCTCTCGGTGCATCAGCTGCATTGGAACAAGAATTTTCAGTAGATCCTATTGCCATTGGAGCATTTCATGCAGTAGAGAAGGGCATCATTGTGGTGTGCTCTGCTGGGAATGATGGCCCTGATTCTGGAACAGCTGTGAATATTGCTCCTTGGATTCTAACTGTTGCTGCCACTACCATTGACCGGGATTTCGAGTCCGATGTCGTGTTAGGTGGAAACAAGGTGATTAAGGTAATTGATGGCTTCATTTTGAAATGAATATAACACCAACAAGCTTAACTATGATGCCAATAAATTTAGAGTCAACTACTTGAATATGTTTTGCAACTCCATTCAATTCATTGCTAGATGTATTGAACCCATGCCATGTTTGCTTAGCTCTTCACCTTCCTATTTTTACATGATTTACTGAAATTTCATCACTCTTATGAACATGTATCTCTTTAAGTCTCCCCTAAACATGTCCTAACCACCATAGTCGTCCTTCCCCCTTAATGACATTTGAATCTTAGCATTTTTCACTTGTGGACCTTAGGGTGGAGGCATTAATTTTGCTGATATCCAGAAATCTCCAGTGTACCCCCTAATATATGGCAGCTCAGCAAAACCAATCCACACTCTTGATGATAGCGAGGCAAGGTACAAAAATAAACAGAGTGCAATGTCCATTTCATCATCTCTATGCAGTAATCTTAGCTAATTGTGGACTGGTTGAGTTTTGTTTCAGAAATTGTAACCCAGGCTCATTTCAAGATGACCAAGTCAAGGGGAAGATTATTCTATGTGAAAGCAAGGACGATGACTATTCAGCAGAAAATAAGTTTGAATCGTTGAAGAAACAAGGCGCGATTGGGATGATATTGATCAACGATAATGAGAGAGCCGTGGCATCAAGTTTTGGATCTTCTCCTGTGGCTGTTGTCACAGAAGAAGATGGAGCCCAGATTCTCTCTTATATCAACTCGACCAGGTAAAAGTACTGCATCAATTGTATGCTTTAAGAGTGTTGAATTTAATCAAAAGCTAACAAGAGTTTTGATCATTCAAAAGAAATCCTGTGGCCACAATTTTACCAACAGTGGTGGTACCAAAGTACAAGCCAGCTCCTGTTGTTCCCTATTTCTCTTCAAGAGGTCCTTCATTCAGCACTCAAAACCTTCTCAAGGTAAAAACTTTTTAATCTAATGTGCATTCTTGATATGTTAAAGGAAAGAACAAGAACTTGTTAAGCGCCTGAATGAAGGCTGAATTCATATACGGTTGACGACTTTGTAGCCAGATATAGCAGCACCGGGAGTAGCCATTGTTGCAGCATGGCCCGGAAATGATACCAAAGTGGTCGTCTCTGGCAAGGGACCACCGCTCTACTATGTACTCTCTGGTACATCCATGGCGTGCCCCCATGTTTCTGGGGTAGCAGCAACAGTCAAATCACTACACCCCTCTTGGACTCCCTCTGCAATCAAATCAGCCATCATGACATCAGGTTAAAAACTTCAAACAGTTTGTCTGAGTAGTAGCACCGCATGTTTGGTTGTGCTTAAAATTAAGTCAAACTTACTATTAAGTTACTTATTTTACCAAGCATACTAACCTTAACTTGATCCATTTGTTTACCTGCAGCAATTCAGACAAACAATTTAGAGGCACCAATAACTACAAATTCCGG